ACTCTACCTCCTCCTTTTATCCATCTGCACAAGACATCACCCACACTTGACATACACTCCATTCCACTAGGGCCTATGTCATCACTAGCTGCACTTCATGTAATCTGGAGAAATGCCACCCAGACAACTCAGATACAAATTGGCATGTTCTCTACATCAATGTATTAGAAAAATCAATCTGCTGTGGCACATAGGTTTGGAGGAGAAATTCCTGGAGACAAGGAAACCATAGAAGAGAAAAGAATGGCAGCAGTGGACAAAGAAAAGTAAGGTATGGGATATATCACAAAGGAACAAGGGATAGAACTTGAAGATGGACTTGATTTGAGAGTTGAAGGTGAAGAAAATGTCAGACAGTTCTGAACTTCCAAAACTGGATAGCTAAGAAGAGGGTGGTATGGATGATGTTGATGATGATGACAGCAATTGTGTGTGTATATACACATATATACATATATATATATATATATACACACATATATATATATATATATATATATATACATATACATACATGTGCCTTATTTGTGAAATGCTTTATGTGTGTTATCTTTTTTGGTTCTTACAACTCTGGAAAGTAAGTACTATTCTTAATTGAGTCTGAGAGAGGCTGAATGGCTTTCCCAGGATCACCCAACTAATAAGCATCCAAGGCAAGGTTTAAACTCGGGTTTTTTCTGATTTGAAATTCAACATGCAGTATACCACTAGCTGCCTGTCTAAATAGTGAAGTTAGCAGGGAAAGTTAATTAATGTTGGACATTTTCAATTTGAAGTGATGGTAAGATATGTAAGTAAGGATCCCCTGAAGGATGATAGAGAGAGAGAACTAGAGTTTAGATGATAAGCGTGGGTTCATCAACATAGGGGTGATCCTTGAGTGAATAAGAAGCAGACAAATTATGTATGGCAAGAGAATTTTGGATGAAGATGCACAGTTGGGATGGTAGATTGAAGGACAGCATAAAGAGACTCTCCTTTAGACAGGTAATGTAGTACAATGGACAGAGCACTATATTTAAGTGGGAGGAAGACTCAGATTTAAATCTCTTCTCTGACGTTTTCTAGTTATGTGAAAATGGACAAATCATTTAACCTCCTTTGATTCTCAGCATTCTTATGTATAAAATGTTTTTAATAAAATCCATATGACCTAATTTGGAAAAGACCCTGATGTGATGAAGGACAGAAGGCAAAAGAGAAAGGAGACAGCAAAGGACTGGGTGGACAGATAGTGTCATGTAAACAATGAATATGAACTTGGCCAGACTTTGAGAGACTGGAGAATAGAAGGGCCTGGCATGCTATGGTCCATGCGGGTCACTAAGAGTTCAACTTGACTAAACAGCAACAAAGGTCAAATAAAATAATGTGTGTACTTAATTAACATTAGAATACTATTTAAATACAAGTTATTATAGTTGTTGTTTTCTTCCAGTGATTCTCCTCTTAATCTGAGGACTCTTATAGCAGAAGGGCAGTATATACATCTCCAGAAGATCAGTCTCAACAAATGATTTTACTGCTCTAAATCTGCAGTTTCCTCTTAAAAATTTAGAGCAGAGCAAAAACACTATAAGGATGAACAGCTTTGAAAGACTTAGTAACTCTTCCCTACATAATCATCACCATCACCATCACCATCACCAGAGGAATGGTGATGAAGAATGCCACCCACCTACTGACACAAAAGTGATAAACTAAGTTTGCAAACATAAGACATACTATTTTGGACATGGCCAATATAAGAATTAGTTTTGTTTGCATATGCATATTTGTTACAACAATTCTGATTTTCCTTTGTCCTTCCTCATAGGAAGGGGAGGAGATGAAAAAAGAAAAATAAATGCTTGTTAACTAAATTATATGTTTGTGTGTGTGTGTGTGTGTGTGTGTGTGTGTACACACATATATAATGTGTGTACACATGCATATATGTATATATACATATATGTGTGAATATAAATATGTATGTATACACACATGTATACATGCATGTGTGTATTGCATGTGTATGTATGTGTGTGTTTACACACACACATACACACACATACATGACAAAATTCAGAGAAAAAAAGCAGAAGAGCTATATACTCTCCTAATATATAAAACTGATTTTGCATGGACCTATTGTTTGGGCCTACTACCTCAATCCTTTTTTGTCTATTTCAAGCCAAGAACCATGTAAATATTATATTCTGGCAAAGGAAAGAGAAAGATGCCTAAGGGTAAGCAGTATGGAATGGAAATGAAGCAAACCTTGCTGAAGGAGACATCAAGCCTTCACCTCAGACCAAGCCACTGCCTCTTTTTTGGTTTGAAAACCTCAATGCAGTCATCTTCCCAGGATGCAACCAGTTGCCAAATGAAATTTTATTGCTCTTATAAGATTTCATTTTAAATAAGGAAAAAGGACAAACTACTTCATAATCAGTGGTGTTCTACATGAGTATATCATGTCATGGGTGAAGAGGGCACGGCGCCCGGCCATATGGGCTACTTAGGAGCCAGCTCTTCTGCCTGCCTGGTTACCAAGCGACACCCTGGACTTCAATCTTTGTTCTGGGGGAAAAAATGACCCCTTGGCCCTGGAAGTTGATTGATATTCATTGTTCCAGTTAGGTTATGATCACAAGGGAGAGTAATGACACCAATTATGCACACAGAGATTTGGCGGCAGCCCGAACCCTTCCAAATGAGAATTTTTCTGTTCTTTCTTTCTTGAAAAAAAAAATGCTACCAGAAATCCATGCGCTTGTCTGTGGGAGCAAATTAATATTTTCTTCCTTAGACTGTAGTTGTAGATATGGAAATATCATATCCATAGACAAATTAACATGAGCTCTCTTACAATGTTTCACTAATTATCTCAGGGACCAAGGACTCCCCTAGGTTAGAAACTTCAGACTCAATCCAAGACTGCAACTAGAATTTCTTTAGGAGGAGCAGCAATTTGTATCATATTAGGAAGGGTGGCAGAGCAAAAATAAATAAATAAACAAATAAATAGATAGATAGATAAATAAATAATTTGGTGAATAAGTAAATGAATACATAAATAATTAAATGGAGCATACAAACAGAAAAAAACCCCAGCCCCAATACCCTCTTTCCTCCTGTTCTTCCTTTTCCTTATCATCATGCAACAGTTTTAGGAGAGAGACCCCAGTCAGTACAGAGAATGCTAAAAGGACCCACATGTTCAATACTACCAAACTGATCCAAGCAGGTCTCATGACAAACAGCCCCCTCCATTCCACCCACAGAGTCAAGCTGCTTTCAGGGAATGCTAGAACGTGAACTTCAAAGGGTTTAAGGATTGATGTGGCACATAGGGAATTAGACATGAAATTCCCTTTATTAAGAGGAACAAAAGCAGTGTCCCTAATCTCCTGTGTGATACAAGCTTTGGATGATCAGGGTTGCACTCAGTCATACTGATGTATCTAACAGCTAATACATAATCTTTCCTTTTTATTTTCTTCTTCTCTCAATTCACATATGCAAATGCAGTAACAATAATAAGAGTCAAGCCCCACCATTGAAGGGCAAAATGAATTCTTTTTGATCAGAACTGATCGTGTTAAAAATTCCCACAGTCTTCACTTTCAGGTGGGCTGTGACATGACATGGAATGATATTTAGGATATCAAATTAGACTTCAGTTTCAAAAGTTGGCTATGGCTATTAGTTTCCAAAACAAAAACTAAAATTACATCTTGAAACATCCTGAAACAAGACTTCTAAAAAGTTCATCTTAATGGTTAAATCATCCCAGATTTATTTTCAGTGCCTTGGGAAAGCTGGGTAAGAGAGGAGGGTGTCTCTTTCCCCCTGCTTTCATATAGCTGGGTTCCTATGTGGATTCAATCCCTAATGTTCCAGGCCAATTTGTGATTCAGAAGCCATAGATATTGTTATTAGACACAAAGCAATCAGGAGACAACATAGTATGTTAGAGTGCTAGGCCTCTGACTCTTATTGTAAATTATTGAACCTCAGTTTCCTTATTAGCAAAATGAAAACAGTAACACCTGTGATATCTAACTAATAGGGAGGCTTTTGCAAGACTTAAAGGAAGCAATGTATATAAAGCATATATAAAGAGAGAAGTCCTATAAACAAAAATTACCCTGCTAATGGGTGGAGAAATTTGAAAAGACGAAAAGCTTACTTTCTTCTCCAAAAAAAGAAAAAGAAAAGAAAAGCACCTGCGTGGGTGGCAATGAGAAAGGTAGAAAGTGCTTAGGAGCTCAACACACACACACACACACACACACACACACACACACACACACACACACACACACACACACACAAATGAGATGTCTGAAATATGCTCTCTGCATCTTAACTGATGAAACTCCTTTTTGCAATAATCTCTATGCGGAGTCACATCTACAAGCTTAAAAAGAACAAAATGAATTGCTCCTTCATGGCTCTGGGAAAAAATGTGGTCTTGCAAACTAATCTGCATCCGATGGCATTTCTTTATACTTTGTGGGGTCATCTGAATGGGAAGGCAGTATTCCCCCAGGGTAACATAATCTAAGAGTAGGGAATGAAAATAACAGAGAAAATGTATTTTATTTTAACCTATGGCCAGTAATGGAAAGGCTAATTCATTAAAGAAAGCTGCCTTACTTAGTACCACCTCTTAGTAGGATTCATTTTAGCAAGTATACCTTTTATTCTCTTTATCTGCAACTAAGGCTACAGCAGCAGACAAAAAAAAAAAACCCAACAACAACAAAAAAACCCAGACATGTAGAGTTCAGCTTTCCCAGGAACCTCATGACTAAAGAAAATAACTTTTCATACAGGTGAACCTCAAGACAGAAATATATATGTATATATACATGTACAGGGTGTCCCAAAAGTATTGGTGCGGTTTTAAGCCATTAAATTTTACATATATGTTTATGTGTGTGTGTGTGTGTGTGTGTGTGTGTGTGTGTGTGTGTGTAAGCACACATGCACATTTTTTAAGAAACACTTACTGAATGCTGACTCCGGTCAAGAAAACTGTAAGTACTGTAAGTATCACTTGCATGAGTTTTCTGTGCAGTTTCCTAGGAGAGAAGGCAAAAAGACATCTTTAGGATTAAGAAACTTTTAAAACACTATTTAAAAATTTAGTCACCATTTAAATCTTCTGAGTCTGAATTCTGTTTTCTGTCATCTGGAGACAAGGAAACTTTATGAAACCAAGAGTAGCTTTGTTATGGATCCTAATGGTCCAATCATACTGTCCGCTGGATACATCATATCTAGAGTATTGTATTGAAGCTTTAGCAAGAAATATTAAAAAGAGATGAAAAAATGGAACACAATCAAAAGGGAGTAACTATGATCTAGGAAGGGCCTAGAATATGTCATATGAGACATAAATGATGAAAGAGCTTGGGATGCTTAACATGGAAGATAATATATTTGTGTGTAAGTGGGGGAGATGCATGATTGCTATCTTCAAATATTTGGACATCTTGTCATAAACAATAAAATTAGAATCCAACTAGGACCAAACGAGGAAGAGTTGTAGGGAGGCAGATTATGACTAAATGAGGATTTTCTGCCACAGAGGGAGGTTGGTCACATGGCTTCTAATTCTCCTCTCAATTCTACGACAATAGAGTTCTGTAATCTCTAAATCCAAATTTGAGAGTTGGAAGGGACCTCAAGAGTCATTCAATCCAGTATCTGAAGAGAAATTCCTTGAAGAGCACAAATACTGAACCACAGTACTTTTTGAGACAAACCTATCTACCTTTGGATAGCTCTCATTAATAGGAAAATGGGGAGGGGGGAGAATGTTTTCTTGCCATGAAATTAAAATCTACTGTTCTGTAACTTCCACCCACCACTTCTCATTCTACCAAAGAAATCATATCTAACCTCTTCTATATGACAGCCCTTCAAATATTTGAAACCAGCTATGACATCCCCTTTTCCTCTTCGAGTTAAATAATCATTGTTTATTCAACACTTTTTAAAAAATATACGATGCTTTTGAACACTTTGATCATCCTTATTAGCTCCCTTGAATGCCCTCCAATTTGTCAATGTCCTTCTAAAGGTCTGGGCCCCCATTAGCCAATCTCCCATTACATTATAATTTCCCCTTTAGAACTTCACATATTATTCCAGGTATGGTATGACCAGAAAAGAGCACAGCAGGACTATGAACTTCCCTCTTTCCTGACATTTTGCCTTTATAAATACTGACTTACGTTACCATGATACTTTTCAGCTACCGTATCATACTCATTACTCCTATTAAATTTCTAATTTGCTTAAAAAAAAAAACTCAGTGCATTTTGTCCATGAATGGTTGGATAGCATGTTCTCACCATCCTTTATTCGGATATAATATAACCAAGACTTTTAGAGTTACTTAATTTTGCAACAAATATTCAACAGCCAAATGGATCTGTGATCTCATCTCATTTGTACATTCCTGGTGATGTCACAGACCACAACCCATCCAAGCCACTCTTGACCATGCCCTCCCATAATTTCCAGGGACCCTTCCCACACACTAGAGACCTTCCTTACTTTCTTCTGACATCATAAGGCTACAGTGGAATACTATAGGCTGTCTGTCTGCCAGCATCCCTTGATCTACCATGTGACCAGCCTATCTTTTTTTCCTATCAAATGTTTTCCACATCATGGTATAGTTTACTTTTCTTCATAGTTCCTCATTGGTTCTATGTCACAGCCTGCTCACATCCACCTATGTTTTCTTATGACCCTGTTTGTACATTCATTTTCATTTTTTAATAGATTGCTGTGCTCAGCCATACTACCACACAATGATGGATGGTATTACAAAGGGGGAACTTTGTTTTCAGAGTCATTGGAGGAGCAAGAAATACAATAGCAATAGAAGAAATATAATCAAAAGTAAATTATATATACTTGTCAACTTTTCATTCTTAGATTAAATTGAAGAGCATCTACATTGGTGAGTCAAAGCTGTTGGCCCCAAGGACTAAAGGAGACTGTTACCTCTCACAGGAAACATTTCTAGGAAACCTGCTGTAATTCTTCTACAATAGGGGTTCTCAACCAATAAACTAGGATCTTGAAACAATATGTGGTAGGGACTTTAATGCCTATATTTGCTCTTTTGAATATTTGTTGGTAATAAAACTGGGAAAGGGCATCCTTTCTTACACATGTAATTTAAAAGATTTGGGGAAATGAAAAATAATCAATCAATACACATTTATGAAGAAGCTATTATGTACTAAGCACTATGCTTGGTAGGAACCAGGTATACAAAAATAAAAATAAATAAATAAAATTCCTGCTCTTAAGGAAAATCCATTCTAACCAGCATGCAAAAAATGTATATGTAAGTATACAGAGAATTCATAAAAAATAAACACAAGATAGAGTAGGAAGGTAGGATGGTTGGTGGTTGAGAGAGGTAGAAAGGGAATCAGGGAAGGCTTCATGTAGTAGGTGGTGTTTGCTGAGTCCTGTGGGAACAAGAGGATTCTATGGTTTGGTGACAAGGTGGGAAGGCATTCCAAGCATGGATGACCACCAATACACAGGCATGGAGACAGAAGATGAAATACCAAATGTGAAGTACAGAAAGGCCAGTTTATCTTGACTGGATTGCAAGATGGTGAATAACATATAAAGATATTAGAAAGGTAGGTCAGGTATACGTAATAAAAGGTCTTAAAAGTCAAAGAGTAATTTATACTTTATTCTAGAAGCAATAGGGAGCCACCAAAGTTTACTGAGCAGGAGAGTGCCACAGCCAGTTCTACACTTGAAGAAAGTTCCTCTGGCAGCTATGTACCCCTGAATGTCTCGCTAGAGACTTAAACCAGTTAAAGGATCCTAGTGACAATAATGAAGGCATTGATATATTGCTTAAAAGTTTGAAAAGGGCATTTTCAAACATTAACTCATTTGATCCTCATAACACTCTTAGAAGGTAAGACATAAGGCATTATCCTCATTTTTAGAACAGGAAACAGAAGCTCAGATAGGTTAATTGATTTTCTGCTGGTTAAATGGCTAGATGGTACTAGAATGGGATTTGAAACCAGGCTTCTTCTGAGTCCACGTCTCACCTCTTTCCACCACATAACACCACATATTTCTCTGACATGAATTAACCCAGATTACGGCTTCCATTTAGGTTTTATCTCAACTTCTAATCTACTTGTTTTACAATATGTCCTGATGGCAGCTTTCCCTTTGCTGACCACCCTCTAGAAGAAAAGATTTATGGACAAAAAAAGTTAGTCTACCATAAAGTTCTATACCATCTTCTTTCTTTAAATGCATATAATATCTTTTTTCTTTTTAATCATTTTTTTTAAATTCAATTTTAGTTTTCAACATTCACTTTTATAAGATTGAGTTCTAAATTTTTCTCCCTCATTTCCCCCTCCCCAAAACAGGGCACAATCTTATATAGGCTATATATGTATAATTATATTAAACATATTTCCACATTAGTCAAAATGCATATAGTATTAAATACAAATTCACTTGAGCAATTAATGCAAAAAAGTATTCTTTTTATATTTAACAAACATTTATTAAAACCTTTTGTGAGCTAGAACTGTATTAGCTGTTGGGGATACAAAAAACAAAAATGAAATAGCTCCTACCCTCAAGGAGCTTATATTCTGTTGAATTCATCGATTTTTAAAAACTATAACCCTGGGAGTTGTATATGAATACATTTACTTTCAAAAGGCCCTATGTGTACAAAACCATCTATAGTGACTCCCTCTGTGGCGGCAAAGAATTAGAAATTGAGGGGATGCCCACCAACTGTGGAATGGTTAAACAAGCCTTGGTAGATGACTACAATGGAGCACTACTGTGCTACAAGAAATGATGAAGGCAGTGGTTTCAGAAAACAAAACAAAACAAACAAACAAAAAAAACATGGCAAGACCTACATGAACTGATACAAAGTAAGGTGAGAAGACCTGGAAGACCACAGCAACAGCAATCCTGCAATGATCAATTGTAAACGACTTATCTACTCTGATCAATACAATGATCCAAGACAATTCCAAAGGTCCCAGGATGAAAAAATTCTATGCACCTCCTGAGAGAAAACTGATGAACTCTGAGTGCAAATTGAGGTATAATATTCTGGGTTTTTTAAAATATGGCTAATATGGGGATATGTTTTACATGATTTCACATGTATAACTGATCTCAGTTGTTCAATAAACAAATACTCATGTCTTTTCCGTGGTTTACACATCTCTGGCAGGAAGGGAAAGAGCTAAAGTCAATGAGAAACTTACTGTAGCTTGTTCTACCCATAAATAATCTTACTCCAATACCATTGGTATGATTGTGAGCAAGCCATTTTCTCTCTAAACCTCAGTTTTCTTACCTGTAAAATGGGAATATTATTGCTTTAATTACCTAGAAGTATTTTGAGGAAACCATTATGTAAATTCCAAATCATGATATAAGTAATCACTATTTTGTTAATCCTTCTTTGGCATCCCTCACACAATCAAGTCAAGTGGTGAGGGCAGAATGGATTTGAGTACCTTGACAAATGAAGGCACATATGATGGGTAGAAAAGGAGAAATGCTAGATAAGAGAGAAAGGATCCCCATGGAACATATCCAACATTTCTATGCAATGTATTAGTGCTGAAAACAGAGCAGGATTTGGGGGTCAGAAGATATGGTTTTACTACTCTATAATTTAGTAGTTATATGTACTTTGGGCAAGCCTCTTCCAATTCCCTGCCAATCCTACTTTGGAGGCAACAGAATTCCTGAAAGCTAGACCAATTGAGCACAAGCTCTGACCTACTGCGTGTGTGATGCTGGGAGTACAAAGACAAAAATAAGGAGCTTGGACTTTGTGGCAGTGTTTGGGAAACACATACATGCAAATAAATACAAACTGATGGGGGAAAGAGCACATATTAACAACTATGAGGAAGAAGCAAGGTTTCACAGAACCTTCAGCAAGATGAAAAGCCTTTGACTAAAGGTCCCCAATCAGTCATTCTGTCTCCCACAACTACTCTACAAGGTATGTGCTATTATCTCCATTTAA